GTCTCCTCCATCTTTCCACACGTCGAACTCCCTGCATCTAAGCTTTTCTTTTTTTTTTTTTTTTTTTTTTTTCCTTTTTGTCTTTTTCTGTGTCCGGCAATGGATCACAACCCTCAGTGTCGCCCCCGTACCGGACCGGGACCAGCAACGGGATCGCAACCCTTGGTGTTGCTCCCGCGCCTCGCTCAGCCAGTGAGCGGGAACCGGTCTGTATGTGGGATCCGAACCCTCGGCGGGAGCGCCACCGCACTTCCCAAGCGGCGCACTACAGCAGTGCGCCACCGGGCCGGCCAACCCACTCCCTTTCCCTACTGAGTGTGTGGAACAATAAACTTCAATTTGGAAAGAGCTGAAAAAATTTTTTGAAAAACACAGTGTCAGTAACTGCAGATGACACTAGAACCTCCACTACTTGTGGCTATGTGATCTTTAACCAACTGCTTCACCCCTCTAAGCCTGAGGTCCTGCTTCAGAGAAACAGGGCTAAGTTACAGCTTGCAGAGTTGCTGTGAGGATCAGAACTGGGCCTGGCACTCTAGGATACTATTATTATTCTAATGTCACCACTCAGGAGGATATACTGCCTATGCTGACAGTAAGCAAACAACGAATTTACACTTAACCTAAAATACAATAAATCTTCCTTTTCCCCACATGAGAGACATCATTTTTCTTCTCTAAAGTCAGAAAACTCAGGAAATGACTGACAAAGTGGTGACTTCTTTTATGCTCATATACTGCTTGCCTCCCAATGCTAGGTTGGAGTTCCTGCTTCCTCCCAGAAGTCTCTGCCAGCTTGGTTACTGTTAGTGATTTTTAAGGGGGGTTGGTTGGTGGGATGAAGGAAATGACAGAGAATAGATCAATTCCACGGGTCCACAGCTGGAACACAAAATGCACTCTCCCCATCCCCTACCCCACCACTGACCCAAATCAATGTTATATGGGATACAGAATTCTATTTAAACAGTACTTGGTACCACTTTCAGGCATACAATGGTTAAAAACAGCTTTGCTGAGCTGGGCAGGAAGCCCAGCCACCACTTATAACATTGTTTCTAAGAAAAACCAACTGAGAGTTCCAAATGCACTTCTGGAACTCAGCTGCCTGCATAAGTTACCTATTTTCAGTACCCTCTCCTCCTTCGGCAGTGAACCCAAAGAGTATGGCACCTAGTCCACATCAGGAGACCCAGAATCTGCTCCCACTCTTGCCTCTGACTATAACCACCTAAATCAGAAATCCTTTTGTGTCTTTACAGAAGGCTTTACAATTTACAAAGTACTCCTGGAGTTCACCCTTACAAAATCGACCAATTGGGTAAGGTGCCCGTCTCTACGGGGTCATCCTGCCCTATACCCAAGACTGACAGCCATTTGATCCTTAGGCTGAATGTTAGCATTACCTGGTCTGAAAGCCGACTTGCAGCTTGCTCAATCTCTGCCCTGGCAGCAATGGACTGCCCACACCACGGGGCATAGAAGAAGAGTAGGACCACCTCCGAATCACGGCGAACGTGTTCTGCATAGTCCAGCTGCCCCTGGAAGAGGTCAAGGACCGGAGACCTCAAGGAGAAAAAGCTGACAGGTGGCTTTGCTGGTATTATCACATCTTTTGCTCGACTAAAAAAGATCAAACACAAACGAGATTGTTTAGTTTATCTTCTTCTAACAACAGCATTGTGTGAAAAGAGAATGAAGCTTAAAGGAAAGGTCCTCCTTTGAATAAGAAAATGGAGTCCCGGGGCCGGCCCGGTGGCGCACTGCGCTAGTGCGCCGCTTGGGAAGTGCGACGGCACTCCCATCGAGGGTTCGGATCCCACATACAGACCGGTTCCCGCTCACTGGCTGAGCGAGGCGCGGAGGCAACACCGAGGGTTGCGATCCCGTTGCTGGTCCCGGTCCGGTACGGGCGCGACACTGAGGGTTGCGAACCATTGCCGGACATGGAAAAAGACAAAAAAAAAAAAAGAAAATGGAGTCCCAAAATCACCGTCCTGGAGTGAAAAATAATATTTTGTGCTAAGGCAACATCTGGCTGAGCAAATGCAAGACATGAATAATATGTTGGAAACAATTCTCTGATATTCCATCCCCCCAGGTGTGGAAGAAGAGGGTGGTGGACAGCAGAGAAGGATGTCTTTGAATAATCCCTATTCTTGCCTCCCACACCCCAAGACTCCATCCTCACCTCTCTGCAGCCTGGCTCTCCACAGCAGCCACTGATCTCCAGGGCTTTAGAGCCACCAGACTATGAACTCAGAGTTGTGGGGAGGGAGCATACATGCCACCACTACTAGTAAGATTTCTATGGGACAATCAAACCACCTTTGAGAAAACATTAAGTTCGTTAGCTGGAGATGGCCTATAATTATCCAGAACATTCAGGCAAAAGTAACAATTAAATAATAACATACATTTCTCTAGATATATATCATAATCTAAAGGGTAATAAAGGTGAATAACAAAGCAACAGCCTAATTAACTGGAAAACAAGTTTTCAGAACACTTGAGGTTCCCAGAAAAGAGACGTCAGGAAGAGAAAGAAAAGAATATCAAACAAGTGGTCAGAAGTCACAGAGACGCAACTACTTTCCCCATTAAGACAAAAGGTGAGGCTGCATCTCATCAAGTTAAAGGGATCTAGTAATCACCTTGAGTTTAGCTAAGAAACAGAGGATACAAAAATGGAATCCTTAAAAACATTAGATTAATTCAAAAGAAAGCAGAAAAAGACCCAGAGAGGAACAAAAATCAAAAGGTACAAATGGAAAACAAGCAGCAAAAAAAAGGCAGACTTAAACCCAAACACATCAATAATTACATACATACATACATACATACATATATATACATACATACATATATATATATTTTATATATATAAATATATATATAAATATATATACATACATATATATATATATTTTATATATATAAATATATATATATTTTTTTTTTTGCGGCTGGCTGGTATGGAGATCCAACTTGGCATTGGTGTTACAAGGCTGCACTCTCAACCAGTCAAGCTAACTGGCCAGCCCTACACTAAATATAAAAGGACTAAACAACCCAATAAAGAAGAGACTGACAGCCAGTCAGGCTAAAGCAAGATCCAATTATGTTATCTAAAAGAGATACATTTTAAATATTAAAAAATAGGATAAAAGCATAAGGATGGTGTTGGGAAAACAGAATAGTTTGGTCAGGGCCCTTGCCTTGGGTTCGGTTGGGTGTGGTTCAGCATCCTTTGTAAGCAAATTGTGTGTGTGTGTGTGCATGCGCGTGCACACGAATGTATCTTTTTAGTTTTGTTGCTATTCTTGTGTTCTTGAGAGGGAGAGAGGGAAGAAAAGGGAGGGAGAGGGAGAGAGGGAGGGAAAGGGAGGGAGAGGGAGGGAAAGGGCGAGGGGGAGAAGGGGGAGAGGGAGAGAGAGGGGAGGAGGAGGGGGAGAGAGGGAAAGAGAAGGAGAGGGGGAGGGAGGGAGAGATAGAGGGAGAGAGAGGGAGAGGGAGGGGGAGAGAGAGAGAGAGAAAGTTTTAGTGAAGAAGGCGGGCAGGCGTCAGCCTCAGGCATCTGCATCGGGCATCTGATCTCCATCATGCTCTCCAACCTACAGCTTCCAAGGACCTTCTGGCTGGTTACCTAGCTCATAGACCTGTGTAAAGTGTCTGGTGACCTAGCCTGACATGTGAGGGGTCTGGTGACCCACCCTGGCGTGTGGAGGGTCTGGTGACCGAGCCTGGCTTGTGGAGGGTCTGGTGACCCAGTCTGTGAACGGGCTTGAGGGGTCTGTGAGCTCCAGACCCAGCCCTAGCTGAGCAATCGGCCCAGTTGGGGCAGGAATTAAGAGCTCATGGAGCTAGGCAGATGGGAAAAGATAAACCATGTAAACACTAAGCATAAGAAAGCTGGCATGACTCATCAGGTAAAAGTATAAACTGGGGTATATTCTTACAATTAGATGTTACTCTGCAATAAAAAAAAAAATCTACTCACACATACTGTAACTTAGATGAGTCTCAATAAAATTATGCTGAATGAGAAAAGCCAGGCACTAAAGAATATATACCCTATGACTGCACTTATATGAAATTCCAAGCAGACAAAAGGAGCAAATCTATTTATTCACTCCAACTAACATTTTAACCCTGTAATTAGAGAGCTTTCAGTCTATGAAGAATACCTTCATAACCTGAAAAACTCAATCGCTTACAAAATTATTCAAAACATGTTTAAGCAACTGTTACTGTGCATAAGGCACAGTGCTTCAGGAATAGGTGCTGAGGCTACAGCAGCTAGCATGCACGCTGTGTTGTCAAGGAGCTAACTTTCTAGGCAAAGAAGACAGGCAACCAACCAAACATGTTAACAACAAACAATAAAAATATACAAATGGGGCCAGCCCAGTGGCTCACTCGGGAGAGTGTGGCGCTGGTAGCGCTGAGGCAGCGGGTTCAGATCCTATATAGGGATGGCCAGTGCGCTCACTGGCTGAGCGTGGTGCAGACAACCGGCGCTGGTAGCGCTGAGGCAGCGGGTTCAGATCCTATATAGGGATGGCCAGTGCGCTCATTGGCTGAGCGTGGTGCAGACAACACCAAGCCAGGGGTTACGATCTCCTTACTGGTCAAAAAAAAAAAAAATACACAAATGACCACTGCTATGTTGAGAATTTAACAAAGTGATATGACTAAGGAGCATAGCAGATCCTCTGATGGAGTGGTGGTCAGGGTGGTATCATTAAAGCTGAGACCTGAATAACAAGAAGCTAGCCAAGCAAAGAGGTGGAGGAAGGCCCTGAGGCAAAAAAGTGACACATTTTCAAGAGATCCAAAATTCATCTCATTAGAGGAGTTATTTTCCTACCATTCAAATTGCATGTTAAGCATCAAATAAGGCAATCTGAGGAAAAATGTAGGTCTCCGACAGCCAAAGAAAGAATCATCATCAAGTTAGTATTTTTTGCTCTGTATGTTCAGAGGAGTCCTAAAGTAAACAAGCCAGCTAAGATACAAGGCCAATCAAAAGACAAACATTAGCCAAGGAAGAGAAACACTTGCCTCTGCCCCATCAGAAACATGCAAGAGTTTCCAATTAATTCTTCAACTGTCTTTACATTTTGGGGAAATTATACCCAGATCAACGATTTCCTATAGCTCTGACGTCTTAAGTCTTGGGTACAAAAAACTCAAGAGTTGGTTGCAAATAAGAAAGACCTGTTGCAAGCCCAACTTTCATATGAAATTCACACCATATAACTCCTTCCAAAGAGGATCTCAAAAAGATTTGAAATTATAAAATACAATAAAGCAAGGCTGGCCAGTTAGCTCTCTTGGTTAGAGTCTGGTGCTGATAACACCAATGTCAAGGATTTGGACACCTATACAGGCCAACTGCCAAAAAAAGCCACAAAGATACAATAAAGCAAAATAAATATCTACACATACAAATATATATATATATATCTACCTACATACACACATTTTTTCCCTCCAAATCAAGGTAAAAGGAAAGCGAGCAGGTTGAAGTAAATATATATCTACATACACACATTTTTTCCCTCCAAATCAAGGTAAAAGGAAAGCGAGCAGGTTGAAGTAATGGAGATTTAATGCACAGAAATGCAGGTAGGTAGAGATGAAATGCACAATCACCCAAAGTCAACCTTTTTTATACTGTCTGGTGTGAATTCAGCTAAGCAGCAGAAACAGAAGAGGGCATTCATTTATTTATTTAAGGTATGGAGCTACTAATAAAAATTAAATTAAAAAAAATCGTACTCTCCCTTAAGCCTATGTCCTCATTAAAGCAAAGATCTTAAAAATAAAATAAGAAGAGCAGGATAGAAATGTTAGAGACAGTTTTACAGTGATAAATTGTATCATGACACCATTCAATCAAAGAAGTCTCTAAAAATATTAATTTGAGTCTATTAAAAGACTTTCAAATTTGCCAATAGAACAGAAAGGAGATGAATAAGCAGCCATTCACCAGCTCTCTCTCCTTGGCGGAAGCAGGTAAGGATCTTGTTCTGCCAGCTCTAGTAACCGGATTTACACCGAAATCTCAAAGGACTTTCATAACTATTAAGTCCTGTGTTCTCAGAACAAACATTAAGCATTAATTCTAAAGATGAACAAACCGATGTAAATAAACCCCACAACCTTGGGAGGGGGAAAACCTCTCTTTCTAATTTGAACCTAAACGCCACCTTGCAATATTCCACTTTGTAAAATATGTTATCTGTTTTCCTTGTGAGAGACAATAATAAAGAGCAATGTTAAGAGTCTACTTCCTGGGGCCGGCCTGTGGCTCACTAGGGAGAGTGCGGTGCTGATTACACCAAGGCCACGGGTTCGGATCCCATATAGGGATGGCCGGTTTGCTCACTGGGTGAGCGTGGTGCTGACAACACCAAGTCAAGGGTTAAGATCCCCTTACCGGTCATCTTTATTTAAAAAAAAAAAGAGTCTACTTCCTGACAATAAAGGATTCAAATTTCAGCTCCGCCACTTAAATAGGCAGGTGTGATTTGGGGTAGGTTTTGTAACAACATCGATGATAACACCAAGGTCCGGGGTTCAATCCCTGTACTGGCCAGCCGCGCGCGCGCGCACACACACACACACACACACACACACAGAGTTTTTGCAATGGAACATGATCAAGCCTCAACTCCTTTACTTGTAAATTGGGAAGGATAACAGTATATCCACATTTTACTGAGAACTGAAAGACTTAAACGAGATCCATACTAGGCTCTCAGTTATGTGTTAGATATATAAATGCACTCATGTAAATAGTAGTTTTCAAGCAGGCAATTTTGTCCCCCAGGCGACATCTGGCAATGTCTGGAGATATTCTTGGTTGTCACATCTGGGGAGTACGCTACTAGCATCTAGTGAATACAGGCCAGGGATACTGCTAAACATCCTACAGTGCACAGGACAGGCCCCCACAACAAGGAATTATCTAGCAGAAAATAGCAATAGTGCCAAGACTGAGACTCTGCTGGTAGTACAGTACCTGGCACATGGCAAATGCTTAATGACAGTTATTACGATTTGTTCTATTTCCAATAAAATCCCTAATTCTTTGACACCTCTTTGACGATACCGGCCATACACTGTGCTCAATAAACCAAAAAATGTTCCAAGCTGAAATCCTTCTCTCGGCCAATACACCAAGGGGATATGTCAGTGGCAACACAGATTTTATAAATTGGAGTCCCAAAAGATATACTGTGGATTTGGGGGGACAGAAGTACACCTGAAATATAACACAAATTTTGCATCTGTGTACAGTCCTGAAAAGAGGCACATTAGCTTTTTCTCCTACTCACTATGCTCCAGCCTACGCAGGCCTTTTTTCCAGTTCCAGGAAAACAGCAAGCTTGTCAGCCTCAAGACCTTTGCACTTGCTGTTCCCTCTACCTTGGCCATTCTCTCCCCAGATTCTCCCGTGAGATTCAAATGTCACTTCCTTAGGAAAGTCTTTCCGTCGCACCTTCATCGCTTCTATTCCCTGCACAGCAATTACTGAAACCCTTTAAAATTACGTTTACTTTTTTTACTGTGTCCCTCCACTGTGGACGGGTGCTCGGCACACAGCGCTGATAAATAATCGTTAGCTCGACCAGTGCATGAATTCTCAAAGGGATCTGGGACTCTCAAACGGTTGTTAATCGTGACACCGGAAAGCATAAGGGAAATGAAACAGCTGAGAAATGAGGTTCTTACAACCTAGGTAGAAATGACAGGTGCACCCCCAGATACCCCAACAGGTGAGAAGCAACTCAGAACCCTGGCCCACCGTCCTCGGTACTAAAACGGGTTGAAGCGGGGCCGGGCAGCACCCGGAAACCTCACCATATGGCCGACGGGCTGGCTGGGAAGAAGGTAAAACGGGGTTCATGGCCGCAGGCTCGTGGAGGGGAAAGCCCGCGCTCTAGGCAAGGTCAGGTCCGACGTCCCCTGCGGAGGCCGCTACGACCCCCGACCCTGAAGGCCCGGAGCTAGCCACGCGCCGCCGGGCGGGCGGGCGGACGGGGAGTCTGGCCGGGGACCCGGGGGTCCGGGCCGCCTCACCTGCAGGTGAACTTGAAGGCGAGGAGCAGCGCGCAGCCGAGAGCCGGGGCGGCGGGGAGCGGCAGGGACCGCCGGCACGCCATGAGGGGGGCAGCGCGCAGCCCGTGGCGGAGCCG